TTGATATATCCTAGAACATGCTGACATGTAAAATATGGGGGTACTTACTGTCCTCTCATGATGGAGATGCCTTCATTTAATTGACAGGTAGCTTGTCACTGACAAAACCACCCTGGATTCTATGCCCATAATCAAGATTCTTGTTGGATTTGCAAAATGGAGGAGAGGAAGCAGAGAGGAAACAAAGCAACACTATCATAAAATAAGGAACTCGGTGCCAAATCAAACCCACCACCCTGGCATTATTAGCACACTGCTTTAGCCAACACATCAAACCTCAGGGCTCATGAGAACATGAAAATATGAATCACAGCATAATCTCMAAACATTTAAGGGCAATCACAGATTTAATCTCTTGATGTCACACTCTACCTCCACCGCCAGTTTTCCACATTTTTTGTCAAAAAAATATGAGCCTGCCATTTTAAGGTGGTTTCAGCCTACCTGGGATCAACATGCCAGCAGTTGGGGTCCACCAGATATCCCAGGAACTTTGTTGAAAAGAGCCAATCTCTGGGGTTTGACATGGAGTCACCAGCGCTGCAAGTGACTCAGGACTTCCCTGGCACAGCCTGTGCGCCTGTTGAGTGCTGCAGAGCATGAAGATGCCAAGAATACAACTACACAGTTGTCAAGCAGAATGTACAGTACATTATGGGCAGAACCATAGGTGGTCAGAGCACAGAAGAGATCAAACGGTATCACAATATCCTCATAGCGTCTATATCTGATTCAGAAAACAATTTTCTGCTCATTCCCTTCTAGTGCAGGAAGTGCAGAGTTTCTTAGAATTTCCCAGCTTCTTTAAGGATTCCTAATAGGGTTCTCCAGTGTCATGGTTCTTACAATAGGGCCTTCTTGGAAGGGACCTCACTTCCCATGAACATGAGAAGCACATGCAGCTCCTGAAGAACAGAAAGTCTTTCATCACATCTTGCCTTTCTTAGGGTCTTGGCTGGTTCCATTTGTTATGGAAGAGGATGTGTCTGGGCCATAAGGGGCCATAGTGTCCCAGAATCCAACCCAAAGCCAGAGCTGTGAYCCCATGTCTTTTTCTCTAGACAGATCACTACCACAAACAGGAATTTTGCCATCTGAGCCAGACAGCACTTGGCAATCCAAGCTGTGTCTGAGGAGTGGTAGCGCACTCTTGAGGCAGCGCTGCTGACCTACCACCAGAATACAACTGATAGACTGCCCCAAACCCCGGGGCAGGCCAGTCCTAACCATCTCATTTTGAGGGTCACAGACAGACATAGACTTTAAAGGGGTTTGCTCTTCACACCCAGTTTCCAGAGCCAACTGATCTGTGTATTTAGTGGCCAACTATTTCCCCTGATGGACCTCCAGCAATCAGTGCTTGGCCACTGCAGTTGTGGTCCCTCCACTGTTTCAATGAACAAAGTTACCTGGTTTTGGATCACAGGGCCATTGAATTCCACATGGTCACAACCCAGGTTGTTCTGGGATATTACTACTGCTGATCATCTAATGTCCCCTGGGATATATGGTACATGGAGAGGCTGTAAAGATTAGCCACATCTAACTAATAAATCCTAACACAATTGCACAGTCCCTACYGAATGGTTCTGGAAGACYATAAAATGACAGAATRGTTWGGGTTGTAAGGGACTTTTAAAGATCATGTCATCCAACCYTCCTTCCATGGGCAAGGATATCTCTTACTAGATCAGGTTTCTCAAGATAGGAAGCAAGAGGTCTTGAMGCAGCCTGCAGTGCTGTGCTGCACTTCTACACATTTGACCACAGCTTCTTGCAGGAATCTGAGGCCAGTCTGAGGCTGATTGGGAGCCTGAAGGCCARGCTCCATGATAATCAGCCTCAGGCTTGATGTGGAACAACCCACCTGCCATGAAGCAGCAGGACTGGGGCTGCTCTGCAAGGGGCAACAATGAAAAGCCAGGGCAGATCACATCAACAGTGACCGCACTGGGCACAGAACCCAAGCAGGGCAGCCTGCTGACAATAGTAGCTGTTGACAGTCACAGTGATCACCAGGTAAATGTGAGATGGCAGGTCAGGTCCAAGTGGAATCCATGAAACTCWGTGAACAGAAGCTGCAGGATACAGGCACACGCCTGCCAGCAACACAGCTCAGGAAAGGGCTGCAGGCCAAGGCTGGAGCAGAAATGGAGCTACCCCTGCAGCTATGCTGGCCAGAGTGCACAGGRTATCTCAGGATCCAGGTTAACTCCAGTGCAATTGAGGAGAATGTAACACAAACTAAGCAAGCACAGGAACTGGCCCCAACCACCTTGCACCTTCTAACTGGAACTTAAAACCGAGGACAAATATGTCCTGAGGGTGTTAATCTGACCACAGACCATTGTCTCTTCCAATCCTTCAGTTACCCATTGCTACAGCCATGACGAAAAGGTCGCATAAAGATTCAGGCAAACTTTTAAGGGTGGGAAAGGAGCAGAAATGAAGGACCAGGCTAGAAAGAATGTCGATTCAGGCTTGCCAGTTTTTCTGACTGAATAAAAATGTAGGATATAGGACCTGTGAGATCACCTGCTCTCACTCCATAATGAATAAAAATTATAGAATTCCAACTTCTGGTTAAAGACAAGGACAAACTTTGTTTGTGGATTTTTGTTTGTTTTACTTTCAAATAAAAACCTTAGAAGTATACTGAGAGCTGGGTTTCRATCCTAAGCAACAGAAAGAATGGTCTCTCTGTTGTGAAGTACTACATGTGGAAATGCCTGAAACTACCTTAAATAGAAACTGCAAAATTCAGAATACAAATTGTATTTTATAGATAACACTGGATTTCAAAGAATGAAGAAATTGTAGCTATTCCATCTATTTTCACACTTAAAATTCAACTGTATGGATTACGTGTGTTGTAACCAAATAGAATAACTAATAAAGATGCACTTAGAGAGGTAGATGAATAAAAATACATTCCTTGCCACAGAGCAGGTTGGAGAAAACCCCCATAGTACTGTGCACTCACTACACTAGGAGAACATAAAGTTACCACTAAATTAGTTAAAAGGTCTTTATTGCCTGGTCCAGATTAAGACTTCATTAAAAAGTGTGCCATCATTTAGAATGAAATCTTAAATATAGGGGACACCATTTAAGCATCTACACACCAGAAATTGCCGAAGTAAAATTACGCCTTTAAGCACTGCAGGTAACCAACAAACAGATTGTAGCACTAACATTTTTGCCTGAGGTGGTCCGATATCCTTGCTGTTATTCTAGTCTCACTTCYTCCTGCTCACACACCTGTATGCTTTTTTGCCACCCAGTGTGACTACACAATACAAATGAACAAACCCACTAAAAGGTCAGTCATTTTAAAACCATACCATTCCTATCCCTAACACTGCTGTRTTTTTGAAACATGCAGTTGGTTGGACTGTACGATTCTCTCCATACTTCAGCTGAGATAGCTTTCACTTACATATTACTGATGACCATAAATAAATAAAAATAAGGCTGTGCATGTCTTATCTGGACAAATCCACACTTTGYAAATTTAATCAGCCATACTATATAGTATTAAAGTAAAATATGTAGTAATTTTCCTAGTAATTTACTGCCATCTAACCATACATTTTCCCAAGGCACAGTGCACAAAAAGCCTCTGCAATGGCAGATCAGTCTACCACACGCACATTTTAACCCTCTAATGACACAGAAGGACTTGTTTTGCTCTTTGTGGCACATGACGTAAGACAGCACGAGAAACAAAACATGGACATTCAGATATTCCTGGTTCTTCATCAGTCACAATGAATACTGGTCCCCTAYACAAATGAGATACAATATTGTAAAATATAAGAATATAATTTTATTCTGTTAATCTGCGTATGTATTGGTACAGCTGTTCTGAGAAAGCTTCTGAAGAAAAYTTTTCCATAACTCTCACTCTCCCAGCTGCTCCCATTGTGTCCTTTAAGAGAGGATCTCTCACAATTTTTTCCATGGCCTCAGCAAATTGGGTTGGCAYAGGATCACACAAAAATCCTGTAACATTATGTGAGATTGATTCTAAAGGACCACCTGAATTAACTGCTATAACTGGACATCTCATATACATTGCCTCCAAAGGGACAATGCCAAAATGTTCATTGCTTGGTGTGTAAAGCACACATACAGAGTTACTAAAAAGAGARATTTTCTGTTCATCTGAGAATGATCTCAGAAAAGTCACATGGTCGTTAACACCAAGCTTAGCTGCCAGTCTCCTCAGCTCTTCATAGTGCTCCACATTTTCCAGAACTCGCTTATCGTAACCACCTGCCATAACCAGGTGAACTTCATCCCATTCATGAGAATCAAGTCTCCCTCGAAGTTTGTGCAAAGCTTCCAGAGCCAATGCCAGATTCTTTTTTCTCTCATACCTATTAATGGAAAGAAACAAGAACTTTTTCTTTTTCGGTATCAGGTCAGCTATATCTGCAGGAACAATTTCTTCAAAGCTACTGATGTTGAGTGATGGGTAGAGGACATCTGGGTTTATGTGAGATAGGGACTTAAATGTGTCTTTGAACACGCTGGCAGTAAACTTGCTGTTCACAACAATACAGTCTGCCATGCCAGTCGTGTACTCTTCCAGCCAGTCGAGCGGCAATCTGTAGAGGCGCTTTAGGAAAGATTCTCTCTTGGTCAGAAGTTGATCRGGAAAGTGACAGTAGAACAAAACCTTCTTTCGGGTTCTGGCCAGTCTAAGTACAGGAATGCAGGCAGACACCTAGTGCAACCAGGAGAGATGGATGAGAGGTTAATTATTTGTATCGATGCTACCAGTGTGCACATGTGATTTCAAAGCTGTGCTCTGGGCCTAGCTGTGCTTTGCAAACCAAGTGCCTTCTCCCTCTCCCCTCCGCAAGCACATCAACTTGTACTCCCTCATCCAGGACCTCTTGTTGTGGCCCTATAATTTCTCCCTCAGTAAGGCACCCTGCATCCCACCCAGGCCCCATCAAGACAGGACTTCTCCAAGCACCTCCTCCTGCCACTACCAGGGATGCAGGGAACAGAGCCCAAGCAGCAGTGACAAACCCCAGTGGCATCCCCCAGCTGCTCCAGAATGGAAGAGATGAATTGCAAAATGTGGAATATATCAAGATTATCTTAATTCAGGATGTTCTTTGATGTAWGATTTTTGTACACTTYCAAGTCTAATCAGCTAGAAAGGAGACCCAATCAGAAGAACAGGCAGCAGCTAGCAATCCTTAGTCAATGACATCCTGGAAGTAAGCTTTAAGGATGTAGTAAATCRATACTTTGATTTATGTCTATGTATACATTGCTAACTTGGCAAAATRCTCAGGGTCCYTGTATCCYATAGCTAAACYATGTTCATTATAACACTAGAAAACACACCTACAGCTCACAAAAACCCCTGCCCAGGCGAAGACCATTTCCCTGAGCATGTGTATAAGTTAATTTGGGTTATGTAACTTGTATGGAATCACAGAAYCAATGAAGTTGGAAAAGAGATCATCAAGTCCAAATGATGACCCAACTCCACTGTGTCAAATAGACCATGGTTCTAAGTGCCACGTCTAGTCTTTCCTTAAATATATYTAGGGACKGTGACTCCATCACTTCCTTGGGCAGCCCATTCCAATGTATAAYCACCCTCTTTGTGAAGAAATTCTTCCTAATGTCCAAGTAAAATCTCTTCTGACGCAGCTTAAGACTGCATGGTCTCTCATCCTGTCACTAGCTGTCAGGGAGAACAGCCCCACCTGCKAGAACATCCTTTCAGGCACTCAGAGAGGGTGATAAGGTCCCCGCAAGCCTCCTCTTCTCCAGCCTAAACACCCCAGCTCCCTCAGCCACTCCTCAAAAGACTTGTGCTCCAGATCCTTCCCCAGCGGCCCTTCTCTGGAAATTATTAACCAATCACACATTATGAGGGGCTGCAYTTGGGAAGTTACTAACTCTGAATTTCTGATTATAAAGGATGGCACACCAAGCCCAATGGGGTGTGCTTGATTTGTGAACCACTGCAAAGCAGCCAGGCTTGCACTGCTCTGAAATGAACAACCAACGCCTCTCTCTTGAGTGTGTCATTATTGGCTTGTGGTACACAACATAACAAATCCAATTTTGTGGRGATTTGATGTTCTGGGAGCGATCTGGAGCTTCTCTCTCAAGAGAGACTGCACGAGTAGCGCATGTTTAGTCTGGAGAAGACAGAGGGGGATCTCATTAACCCATGTAAATACCTCAAAGGCTGGTGCCAAGAGRATGGTAACAGACTSTTTTCAGTGGTGCCCAGCAACAGGATGAGGAATAACAGCCATAAGCTAAATCAGAACAAGTTTCACATCAACATGAGGAAGACCCTCTTTACCTCGAGGGTGGCAGAGCTRAACAGGCTGCCCAGGGAGGTCGCAGAGTCCCCTTGCCTGGAGACATTCCAAATCCACCTGGATGCGTTCCAGTGTAACCTGCTCTAGGTGACTCTGCCTTGACAGGGGGTTTGGAGTARATCATCACCAGAGGCCCCTTCCARCCCTAACAATTCTGTGAAGAGCAGCCTGCCAGTGTCCCTGCCTCCCGTGTGGCCGGCGCCCCGGTGCCCATCTCCACCCCAACCCCCATGGCCGTGCCCGCACCTGGTCGCACACGAAGGCGTCGAAGGTCTCTCCGCTGAGCAGCAGCACGTAGAGCGCCACGAAGGCCATGCGCAGGGCGGCGCAGAGAGCGTGCCCGCGGCCGCACAGGCTGCGCGGGATCCAGCCGCCCGCCCGCCGCACCGCCAGCCCGCGCGTCTCCGCGAAGCAGCGCCCGGGGTCGTAGTGCGCCGTCCAAATCTGCACCCGGCAGCCCCGCGCCCGCAGCGCCAGCGCCGCGTCCACCACCAGCCGCTCCGCGCCGCCCAGGCCCAGGTCCGGGTGCAGGAACAGCACGGACAGGCCCTCTCCTCCTCCTCCTCCTCCTCCTCCTCCTCCTGCCTCCTCCTCCTCCATGGCCGCTGCCGTGGGGACAGGGTCGCATGCGCAGCCCGGCAGCCCCGGCGGGACACGTCAGCCTTCCTTCCCTTCCTCCCGGGCCTCGCCGCCCGCCCCGCCCGCCTGGCGGCCCCGGCGCTGCCCGACGCGCCGTTTAGCGCGGTCCCTCTCCGGCCCGGCCGCTGCGCAAGGAGCGGGCGCGACCGAGGCCTTACGGGGGAAAGCGCTCCGGAACGGCGGCCGCCGAACGASGGGTGTGGGGATGAGGGGCCGGTGCGGCTCAGGCATTATCCTGGGAAGCCGCGTGGTCCCGGGATGCGCGGCGCGGGGGCGGAGCCCGATGCGGGCAGGGACGTGGCCGGAGCGGCTGTAGCGGAGCGTGTGTGAGACCGCGCCGAGCCCGAGCCAGCGCCGCCGCCATGGTGAGGGGCCGCCCGAGGCGGGGGGCGGCCGAGGCGCCCCTTCCCCGCCGGCAGTGCCCGCCGCCTCTCACCCCCTCCCGCTTCTCTCCTCTCTCCGCAGCCCGGGCCCAACCCCAGCGCCACCAGCGTCGGCTCCTCCGGCCGCTCTCCCAGCAAGGCTGTGGCTCCCCGCGCCGCGGGATCCACGGTCCGRCAGAGGTGGGTGCCGCCGCGGCTCCATGGTGGGGCGGGCAGCTCTTGTCTCCGCCGTGCCCTCTGCCCGTGGGGCTGCCCAGGCTGGTGCGCTCTGCTGACGTGGCAACACAGGCTGAGCGAGCCCAGAGAAGGGCAGCGGAGCTGGGGAAGGGTCTGGAGCACAAATCCTATGAGGAGAGGCTAAGGGAGCTGGGGGTGTTTAGCCTGGAGAAAAGGAGACTCGGGGGTGACCTTAATCGTTGTAGCTAGGTGGRGGTCTGTCTCTTCTCCCAGGAATGTAGCGACAGGATAGGAGAAGCTGCACCAGGGAATGTTTAGCTTGGACATCAGGAGAAATTCTTTCACAGAAGGGGCAATTCGACATTGAAATAGAATGCCCAGGGAGATAGTGAAGTCACCATCCCTGGAGGTGTTTAAGACTGGGCACTTTGTGCCATGGTCTGGTTGACATGGTGGCGTTGGGTTATAGGTTGGACTTGAGTATCTTAGAGGTGTTTTCCAACCTACTTGATTCTGTGAGTTTGTGAAGTATCTTGCTTCTGCGGAGTCTCTTGGAGTGCTTGGYCCTACAAGCTGGCAGAGTGCTAACGTGTTGTTTGGTCTTTATTTCCTTCTGTTGTCCATTAAAGGAAAAATGCCAGCTGCGGGACAAGGAGTGCAGGCCGTGCCACGTCCACAGGGACTGGCGGGATGTGGCGATTCTACACTGAGGACTCTCCAGGCCTCAAAGTGTAAGTTGGGTTAATGGGTAGTGGTAGGCTTGAGAGCTGTAAAGTTCCCTTGCTTATGTAGTCTTCCAGTCCTTGAATTAATAATAATATATCRGTGTTCTGGTGTGCATAGGGAAACTTGGTGAGTTGATGGTTGGGGTGACATACTTAATCTGGAGTAGTTACATACTTACATATGTAAGGTGACATACTTACCCCGGAGTAGTTTTTAGAGTTATAGTGGTTTTTAAAAGGTAGGTACAAATTACATTTCGTAATTGCCAAATCTTACCCTAAGTGGTCTTTGAAGACTGTGAGCAATCACTTTGRTGTTGAGAAAGATGACTTGTCTAAGTCAATTTAGGCATCCAAGTGCATGTTTTCGTTCTCTTCCAAGTAAAAATTTTTGGGATTTGTTTTATAATAGCTGTGTTGTGATCCTGTACACCCTGTGAAAATAAAATATACCATATGCTTACTTCATCTCAGGTATTCTATTAAAAACTGCAGATAAATTACTTTAGCTGAACTTGTCTAGCAAACAGGTTGTTACACCTTGTATATCTCCTTTTTTACAAGGTGAATATTCCAAGATTATGGTCAAATATCTAGTTATGTCTCTTAAATCATAAAGAGACCTCAAGTTTTTGCTTTTTTGTCCAGTTTGAGTCATTCAGATGAGTTTCCCAAACAAACTGTGCAGCTTAATACTTGGGTAACAAAAGTGGAAGGTGTATTTCAGGTGATGAGTGCATGCTAAGTTGTATCCTGAGTGGGAATTTCTGCTTACTGAAGAGTTTTGGTTCATGACCTCTTGTTCTTACTAAGTTGAAAAGTCTTGAGATGCTCAGGGCTGACCCTCTTGCTTGTGGTTTTTTTTTTTTTTTCCTCAAATTGAGTAATATTTTCTTTTGGACTTCTTTAAGAGGGCTGCACAAACAGAACACTTTGGGGAAGTACTAGTGATAGCCTACTTAGTGATAGTTCCACAAGTAAACCTTCCTCTGAAGTAGTCTTAYGTGTTTTCATTTTCATATGCACTTGACACTTTAAAAAACAAAATGCATYCAGCAAACCACCAAAGTAGTGCTGTTCTGCCTTGCTTATTCCTTATGGGATCTAGAGAGGAGACAAGGCAAAGAAAAGACAATGAGCAGCAATAGTGTTCTAGAGCAAATCTAGATAGGCAGGGCAACTATTTTCTCTGTTGTTTGGCTTACTAAAGCTCAATTAAAAAATTAATAAATCCAAACAGAAAAAAACAGAAGGGCAGTATGATTTTTTTTTTGTAGAGTTGTGATCCAAGCTTTAACAATTTTGCTAAGTTTTCTTGAGAATCCTGTGGTTTTACTTTTGGTGCTCAATGGCCACTCATGGTTGTTTCCATCTTGAGTGCAAGCAGATCAGTAAAAAGATTTTCCCATCTTACTTATGTTGCTACACTGCTTCACAATTTTAAGGTTTTGGAACACTGGAAATGGTTTTTTAGGAGCTACTTTGGATAGCTGTATGGTCAGGCTTTTAATGGAAGAATCAGATCAATACAAGTGAGTTGGTTTTTCAAAACACCCCATGCTAGATGTAACAACTTCTGAGCCATGGCTTGGTCGCAACTTTCTTGCTTATGACTTTCCATGTATTTTTCTAAATTTTTTTTTTCCCATAGCAACCAACTGTTATGATCTGTTTAGTAGGCTTTAAAGTGAGAATGGATTATAGAGGGTTTGTGATACAAACAAAGTAAATGCTCCAGCTGAAGTTGTTTTTAGAGATGGTTGTGATCACTGCATAAAGCAGTGTGAAAGCTTAGCCTGGTAGTGGTGGTAGGTGGGCTTTTTTGGTGTTTTTTCCTATTGTTTAAAATGCATGCTCTTGAAATTACTGTGAAAAAATACATAAAACCACCTGAAGACAGGTTAATTCATACTAGCTAYACTGAGGGGGATTTTGCTCTAGATAAAAAAGTTTCAGTTTTATATTGTGTAGAATTATATCAATGCTTTGGGTATTTTATATCTATTTAACATCCAAAATAATAAATATATTGAATARGCAAGTTGGTTACCCTCAGGAAAGATCCTTTACCTGCATTATAAGATGCTTCAAGATGTGTATGCCTTTAAAAACAACTATTAGCGAAAGGGATTTGTGGAGGATTTGGCTGAGAGTGGGATATGATWTTTTTCTCATTAAAGCTTGGAGATTACATACTTTGAAAAGAAAATCAAACCCAAACTTTTTCTTCTTTTTGGGTCACTTGGTACATGTAGTTCTTGTATCTTGTCTTGGGCTGTCCTGCTTAAAAAGCTATAGGCAACATTTCCTGTGGATAAAAAATCAAATCTGGTTTGTGGTACAATGTAAGGCCTTATGAAAGGCATTCTGAGAATGTGCAGTACCAAATCTTTTGAGGTGTCTGAATCCATTTATTTATTTATGGTGGGCTGAGAAGATGCAGGTGTTTGTGTCAACAGGTTTTCTTTGGGAGTCGAGGAAATGAGGTGTATGTGTCAGTATTGGAGAGCTGATTATTCTTTAAGGGTTCAATGTCATCTGCATGTTTAAAAAACACACTGAACACACCATCAGTCTCCTCTTTTTATTTCCATGTAGTTCTGTTCTGATTARTTGTTCTCCTTTATCCCCGTGTGCCTTTGACAGAGCAGCTTACCTATTCCTACTGCTGAAGGCTCAAATGAATGAAATAGTAATTCAGATGTAGTGTAAGGACTATAAATTATGATTTATATTATGTAGGATATAAAATTACATGTATAAATATATATAAATTAATAAAAATKATAAAATTATTATATTTATTTACATGTATAAAATGCTGGGGTTTGAGAATTATGTTCTGTTGCTTAGAGAAAGATAGCCCTTGAAGGGGTTGTGTATATCATCACTGTGTATGTGGACTTAGTTTATTTTGTTATGGGTTTATTTGCTAAATGTTTTATGTCTGTGTTCAGGGTTCTCCATAGCCAAATATGTCTAAGTATGATAGATAAAAATTGAGTTTTAAAACCCAGTGTAAGATTGCAGTTGTGAACATCTGAAGTATGTGGATCATGATCTCATAGAAAAATGTCAGTAAACTCTTTGAATCCTTTTTCAGTTTCCTTTTTTTTTTTTTTTTACTTTGTATTCAGGTAGCATTTGCCTGCTTATAAACAGTAATCTGAAGGGTAGCACAGGCTGGATATCAGATTTCCCAATAGCATGTTGAAATCAGAAATGAGATTGTATGAAATGAGTGCTATGAAGGAGTGTTGAGTGTGTGTAATGATGTAATTGTATCTCAGAACAGCATGAAACAGCTGATTGAAGGTATCARTATGCACCCTAAGAGTAACCTGGTTTTTTAAAGCATCACTATACAATTTCGAAACAATATATAAAAGTAAGGAGGTGAAAAAAAATTATTAAGTCATTCATTTTAGGTAAAGGTTTAATGATGTAGCTTTTCCACTTGGTGTATGTTTTTCTAGAAAGCAGAATTCCCTGTCTATCACCCACTGCTGCCATTGTTTTCAAAAGAAATAAAAACCCTAAYATAAAACAGCTAATGAGAATTTTATGCCAAAATTTTAGTAGCCGCTAGAGGACTCTGTTGGTTTTTGTATCGGACTGCATCTCTGCTCAGGTGGCTATCTGAGTAGTAAACAYAGAGGATACTTCTCCAGAGATTGTGAAAATAAGGGTGCAGAGTAATGAACCATTAATGGGTTTTTAAGCAAGTTATTTTTTTGTTACTCTCCTGTGCTCTTTTGTGTAACATTTAGGGTGTGTAGAACTGTCTTTAAAAACAGTGGCAGCAGCAGTTTTTGATAGAGATGGCTATCTCATTTCTATGTGCTTTAGGGTATTTCTGTGGGAATGGAAGAAGAGTATTGTCATACAATTTCTTATAAACTGATGAGCTCACTTGGCTGATAATGASTGGCCTTTGGGCAAGACAGACTTCTTTTTTATGTTAATGCATTTTCTCTTTATTTTTAGTGGACCTGTTCCAGTTTTGGTCATGAGTCTTCTTTTTATTGCTTCTGTGTTTATGCTGCACATCTGGGGTAAATACACTCGTTCCTAGACTCAGCTGCCAACTTAAAGCATACATCTTGGACCAAAACTATGGTGGATCCTGGTTGTTCTTGGAGAGAGACTGGGGAAGCTTCCTATCACCTGTTGAAGTCCTGTCAACTTGGGCTATAATACCGAATTAATTTCTCAGTTTGCTACTTGGGCAGCTTTAAAGCCTGTCATGGGTCATTTTATATTTGTATCTGTACACTTAGAATACAGGTATTGCAATAAAAGTTGTATATGGAAATAGAAACAGTCTTAACTGTATTTTTTCCTCTTCCAGCATACCATGGCTAACACATTTTACTTGTGGTTTTCGTAATCGTATTTCTGAGTAAATGCCATTTGACAGTTCAAACCAGATTCTTCCATACTATATTTGCTGTTTAATTTAATGCTAGATGGTCTTTTTGTGAATGGAAGAGACAAAAATCAGGTTCACAAACATGRAGTAACCAAAATCCTTGTTTAAATAAACCTGTGCTGAGATGGTCATKTTCTTCTGTTAACTCTAGAAAAATAGGTGGATTTATTTATTTCCTTAATGCAACTTAAACTTTACTCAATGCTAATTATATATWAAAGTTATATAAATGTGCTTGTTTGTTCAAACTGCACTTGACGAACAACATGTACTGGTACCTAACTGATTTAAAATAGAGTAATTATGTAGCTGTCAAAGACATTTTTCACTCTCAGGCACATGGTGTGATTCTTGGGGCTGTCCTGTGCGGAGCCAGGAGTTGGACTTCAGTCCAACAACATGGGTCATGTCCAACTTAGGATATTCTGTGATTCTATGACTGGAGGTCCAGATCTTTCAAGGAGAATTAAATGGAATAGGAAGACTGGAAAAGCAATGGATGCATTTTAAATAACAAGACATGCAAATAGGCTGAGATACTAAGCTAAGTGTTGCTTCAGATAATCACTCCAGT